TACTGAGTTCTTCTCATCAATTACATACCTATAACATACACGTGAAAATTTAAAGTCATTTTTTGGCTACCGCCATTTTAGATTTAGAATGACGGGACTATGTTTATTGTGTTTCTCTCGCCAAGCTTAAATAGGGGAAATGATAAATAGATATTTTGGATTCAAAATGGCGACAGTTAAGAAATTTTATACTGTCACGTAAACCAAACATGTGTAGGAAATTTCAGCTCAATTGGTTAAGGTTAAATGTTTCAAAATTCAATTCCAAGATTTATCTCACACACTAACATACTCATACATACCAACAAACAGGTCAGGTTAAATAAAACCTTGTAATAAAAGGTAGAGATTCCAGTTAGAATAGAAGAATTTCCTATAATCGATTTGAATTTGAACAGCGATCATGTGTCTATGAGAATTCCTTTCTGTTTTTCCACTCGCTAGTTTCACACGAATCTAATTCGGTCGCTTTAATTTCCATCAAAGTTTTTTAATACCGTCGTGCTCTCTGAAACGGACACGAGGCAAGAGCAAAGCTGCTCCCACTTCTAATGAGCATTTAACGAAAATAAATGGAGGGCCGCTTATTTAGTTGTGGTCTAAGTTGGCTAAGACTAAAGGGGAATAATAGTTTTATTTTCATTATTCCGCGCTGTAGAAAGCCCAAGCAATGCGGCTTTGTCCACGGTACTATTTCGGTGAAAAGGTAATTCCGCAACGGGTCTCAGGCAAAAGCTGGAAATTTATTTTTTATTGCATTCTCTACTTCTTCCTTTAGGACGGGGTATTTCTTTTTCGGGGATGAATGGATAATGGGTAATTTTTTCTTGAAGTATCAGCTATTTTAGCTGCTATGAATGGCCTGATGGCTGAAAGCAGACCTTAGAAAATTTATTATAAGCAAACAGGCTTCTTGAAAAAAATGGCGTCGAGTAGATTGACTTTCCACGTAATTCTATCAATTAGACTATGCTTGGTTTATCACCAAGCATAGCGCTATATGAACTGTAACACAAACAAAATCAGTCAAAGCAGTTGCATGTACCATACAGACTCGACTCAGATAACACAGCATTCTTTCTGAGAAAAATTTACCATGTTTTACTTTAGTTTGCAGAACGTGGAATAACTTGTTGTAGTAGTAGCTATTAAAGCAACAGTGTAACATGCGAGCCCATTTCAGAAAAAAGCAAACGCCCATGAATAACAGAAAACTGGGTTAAAAAAACTTGAATAAAACCAAAAACTGACTACAGTATATTCAGATAAGAGATAGACCGGATGTAAACAAAAGGTTCGGGTGATTTTCACGCTAACGCCGCCGTCTCGACGTAAAACAGGAGCCCTCATTGGTCAATTCGCAATTAAATGCCTATGCCGAGCGGCAGAGCAGTCGTATCAAGGCAGAGTCACATTCAGGTTCAGACGTGTTACGTATGTCGTGTGCATCATTGCAATTTGATATTTCTTTGGACGTTTTCGTTTGTTATCTTATTAAGTTGTTGAGTTTGTCGTTGTTATTGTTATACCTTGTTATTGATTGTTATTGTTATCAACTGCTTGCGCAAAATGCCCAGTAGTACAGATACTGCCGATGAAGTTGTAAACTCCTGTAGTCCACCTAGGAAACGCTCTAAAAAAAGACACCTGAGTGCAGAAATGAAAGAGGTCATTTTGAATATATATAAGATCGAGCGCGAGGAGAACGAGGCATCAACCATCAAAGAAATTGTTGTGAAGGTTTCTCACAAAGTTGGGGTGTGTCGCGCATCAGTGTTTAATGTGTTAAGACAATACAAAAAAAATCACACCTTTTCTGAGCCAATGACCAGTAAACATCGCAAAAGTATTGTTAAATCATTGGATGAAGCTGACAAGCATGCGATTAGGAGGAAAGTGCATGAATTCTTCTTTAGGAATGAAATACCTACTATAGATAAAGTACTGCAGGAGGTAAATGGAGATACAACGTTGCCAAATTTCAAACGATCAACTTTCCATGCGTTACTGAAGCATTTAAATTTCAAATGGAAAAAACGGGGTCGTAATAGTTTACTACTGGATAGAGAAGAACTTGTGCTATGGAGGAGGGATTATTTAACAAAAATTGGGAAATATAGAAATCAAAACAGGAAGATTTATTACCTTGATGAAACGTGGATAAACGCAGGACACACTACAAGTAAAGTATGGGTTGATGATTCTGTAACTTCATCCAGGAGGGCCTTTCTAGATGGACTGTCCACCGGATTAAAAAATCCAGCAGGTAAATACGCGTAATAAACAACAATCGGATGTTTTTCAAACCTTGGGAACAAGGTTCTAAACATTAATTCCAGGAGGCAGATAAAACATATTACAAGTAACAAAACTTTTATAACTTTCGATAAAATGCGTGGATGTTTTATTGTCATTTTCATTTGTTAGAACTTTTTTAAGCCATGTTTTTATGTGTTTTCGATATTTCAATAATTTTTTAATATAATCTTAAAATATGTCGAATATTATAAACTTAAAAAAAGTTACTAAGTTTTATATTGTGTACCGTTCCTAATATTTCTAATCATTTTAATTCATACTTTAAGCTTTATAAAGTTATAATTTGTTAATATTAATATTTGCGCGTATTTCAGGTTCCTGATCATTCATTTTTTAAAGGTTTATAACTTTAAATTAAATTGTGAAGCGCTGAGTAATTATACGACGTTCAATATTCTTTCTTTCAATATGACTAAATAATCCCAATTATAGCAATCTGATACTCATGTCTCAATGTTTTTTCGCTGAATGTGATGAAAACATTTGAAAAAGGTTCGCTTATTGAAATAAATCTACACCAGTTAGTACTTCGATTTCCAGGTAAAGGGAAAAGGCTCATTATCTGCCATATTGGCAGTGAAGATGGATTTGTTGTTGACGGTCTGTGGTGCTTTGAGTCTAAGAAAACTGGAGATTACCACGAGGAAATGAATGGCGAATCGTTTGAACAGTGGTTTTCAAAAATTTTACCGAACTTAGAGGAAAACGCAGTAATTGTGTTGGATAATGCGCCTTATCATTCTCGAAGAATGGAGAAGGTCCCAACAACGGCTTCAAGGAAAGTTGATGTTCAAAATTGGCTCCGCTCGAAAAATATCAACTTTGAAGAAGCAATGCTGAAAGTACAATTATTAAGAATTGTCAAGGATCACAAGGCGGAATATCAAAAATACGCCATTGACGAAATGGCAGCAAGTCAAAATAAAACTGTGCTCCGTTTACCTCCATACCATTGCGAGCTCAATCCCATTGAGCTCATATGGGCAGAGGTTAAAAATTATATAGCTAAGCACAATACAACTTTTAAATTTTGTGACCTCAAAGGACTTTTCAAAGAAGCATTAGAATTAATAACAGCGCAAAAATGGGAAAACTGTATTAAGCACGTGAAAGACAAAGTTGAAAAGAGAATGTGGGAACTGGACAATATTTTAGAGGAACAAGTCGAGCCATTCATTATTGACGTTGGTGCTTCAGGCAGTAGCGATGATGAAAGCTCATCAAGCTCATCTTTCCAATAAAAGATGTCGTTCATCAAATTCGGTAAGTTATAAAGCTACTGTATTTTTTAATTAATTATTGACATTTTTGAACCCATTTTGGCAAAACCTATTCAAGAATCTACTTTCTGACAATGTTCAACCATGCACATTTTTTTACGTTTTGAACGTTTTAATTTGGTTACATATTTACCTAGAAATCAAAAAATATACTAATCAATATTCTAAAAGCAATTTTAAGAGATATACGATTATTTTTAATTTAGGCTAATTTAAACGCCATTTTGAGATTATATTCGACTGTATTTCACCAAACATCAGGCGGCATCCGAAGCTGGAAATCGAAGCGAAAATTTTGAAACCCTTATGTATATTTACATCATTATATATTTCTTACCCCACCCCCACATGATCCTATATCCATCACCAATCGTATACACATCGAATTGTGCTAATTTACTACAAAGTTACGCAAAGCAGCATCTACTATCTAAAATATGTACTGCGTGACTCTTAATACGTCCCTGCTGAATGTTACAGCGTTCGATGATCACGTGGTCTTGTTTATGTCCGGTCTATCTCTTATCTGAATATACTGTAGATATGTTCACTTAAGTTCTATCGTGGACATCTACAATTCTAAACCACCAGAAGCAACAACAAGAAAATAAAAACACGAAGTCCAATAAGGTAACGACATGCGGTGTTCCCAAGCACTCACCCATCCAAGTGCTAGCCACGCCCGACACTGCTTAGCTCCAGGCATCGGATGAGAGCCAGCATTTCCAATGTAGTATGGCCGTGTTACCCGATATATTTTTCTGTTTAGTGGTATTCAACCAATGGTTTGTTTTCATCCAAGATTCTAACATTCATTTGGTTTAATGGAAAATGTGTGTATAATATGTACGAATATGATATTCAACATGTGCGAAATATTAATTATGAAACGCCTTTCACTGATGCCACTGTTGCAGCATGAACCGTCCTCAACCCCAAATTTTCAACTCCTAAAAAAATGTTTCGAAAAATGATCAAAAGCACCGAAACGTCAAAAGACGAAGGTTGAGTGATTATTATATTTTTGTTTTTCGCTCCTAGCTCCGCCGGCACTGGATCGATTTTCACAGACTACAAAGCTTTAAAATAGTAGTAGCCTTGTATCAAAGTGTCACAAACATCTGAGCGGTACTTTCAAAGTTATTGAGGGGTCAAGCTAGACAGACAAACCAACGAAAATGAGTGATATGGTTTGTCGTGATGTACATGTTATGGAAAACATAATGTCTGATCTCTACTTTCAATATTTTTCTCAATTACACTGCCCCGTCCACGGCGTTGGAATTAAAAGCTATTTCTTACGAACCAAATCAAACCATTCTGTTTTTAAAAGGTCTGACGAGGCTTTGAACCTATATTCTGACTTTTTTAATTGCTGAACCAGTCGCGGAGGAAAAGTACTGGGTGCGGCAGAGAGGACGGACGTTTTTGGGATGGGTAGTACTCTCCTCCTCCGAGGTGGGGAGGGTACCGTTTGACTCGTGAGATCCTAGCATTATTTTACCAGTTGTCGTTATGGAGCCTTGGACGGTGGAGCACCGCGTTTTCGCCTATGATTCGTCGTACAGCGTGAGTTTCGTCGCCACTTCAACATTCATCGGAATAGAGCTGTCACTTCGCAGGCATGGTGAACTGATCAACAGAAGACCAAGAGGAGCGCCGCTAACAGTTAACTCCTGAAAATGTTGAACGCGTTCGACAGGTCTTTCTTCGCAGTCCGACTCGATCTGCCCGGAAACGTGCTGCTGCACTTCGCCTTAGTGATCGTTCGGTAAGGCGAATTTTGCATATGGATCTCCGCTTTCACAAATTGGCCATTGTGCAACAGTTACAGCCCGGAGATTATGCACAACGAATGAACTTCACACGTGAGCCCGAGCATCCATGGACGTTATTCGCCCTCTCTTCCCTGGTCGCCTTATTTCCAGGTTTGGCGATGTTCATTGGCCTCCTCGGTCACCAGATTTATCCATATGCGATTTTTTCTTATAGGGACACCTCAAAAGTATACGCGAACAAGCCCCGAACTCTGGACAAATCGAATGGCGAAATTCGCGTGGAAGTCGCCCAAGTTGAGAGAGCGATGTTGGAGAGAGTCTACGCAAACTTCCAAGAACGCCTCCAGCACTGCATCAACGATTTCGGCCACCACATGCCTGATGTGATTTTCCACACTTGACTGTCTCAAATGCTATTTCCTTGTGAACTTGATTCCATCAATAAATTTGTTTTTGAGTAAAAATTAACTATTTTATGATTTTTTTAAAACCATCCATCCTCTCTGCCGCACCCTGTATTTTTCTTTCCGTAGATCCATACTGTATTAATGATAGTTAGATAGCTTGAAACAAGTTGTGCACGGTTGGTTTTGGTCATAGAGACCGGAAAGTAAACAGATCCTTTTTCAGCCTGTTTTTAGTATATGCATACGTCGAAGCTGGTAGGTTGATGAGTACTTAGTTCTCCCCTGAGTGTCGAGAAACTTATGTTAGTAGGGAACATTAGTTCATTTCATCTCAAGCGAACCACTCATAAGTGGCAGTGTCATTTGTTCACGATTTATAGAAGAGTCTCTCCCTGGCTTATTCTCAGGAGAAAAAGAATGGAAGTCTTGTCGTCCTCTAGTACTTTTACATCTAATGATGAAATTGACTTTGTGATGAAACATCTAATAATACGAAAAATCTAGCAACATATTATTTTATCAAAAATGAACGCATTCACAAACCTATGTTATAAACGTCAAAACAGACGTCAAACGATATCAGGTTACATCTACTGGTTATTCTACCTATTGTTTTCGATAACCACCCCTGCTGAGAGCGAGAAAGTTGCTACAAGTCTCCTTTACTCTAGCTCATTTGTAGATATTTGTTTAACACCCTGAATACCTGCATGCAATGAGCTGTCATCCGCAAAGCTATGGATTGAATTTAAAATTGATAATAAGCATCTCTAATAATAACTGCAATGGCATGAGCCTCACCAAACACTCCTGTCTGATCACGAAAAGGTCTTCATATAAACTTCTATTCTATTATCAAGCAGCATGGCACGTTCTGATTACTTATTTTCCCGAAGTACATTTCTCTGTACTTAGCGAGACTCTCATCCCATTTCTAATTCACACCGTGCGCCTTAACCGTCTCAATTTTCGGTCACGACCTTTTTCCTTGATACACCCTCAATGCTGATAAGGATGAGATATAAGCGAACTCCTTTTCCTAGGCGCGTACTCTGAAACACACCCCGAGGGCCGTGCAAATGAATCCCAGGCGAGTATGGTGGATAATAACTGTAACTGCTTTATTGTTTTATATCCTCTTTCACTTCTTCTTTCGTATACGGTTTTGCGGCTTTGTAGATATAGTGATTTGCAAATGGATCCGACAAACATTGGGGTTGTTTAATATAATAGACGACTTCATCAAATCTAGATTAACTGCTTGTCAGACATCTCGGCTGAGAAAGATCCTATTTGGCATGATGCACCTCTCACATGATTTAAGACTGTTCTACAAAATCTTTTTTAAACAATATTTTGGGATGCTGTTTAGATGTTGCTAGACAACACTAATATAGAATAAGGCAAATATGCCTTTGGATTCACTACACACTGTGTGCGCAATGATGGCGCCACCTAGCGGATGACGCACAGAAAAGGGATATCAATGAAAATGACAGACATTTGTGGTTAGGAAGTATTTGAGAAATAAAGTTGACCCCATATGACACATATTTCACCATAGAGAAAAGTCCTATATACCACCATTTGTTCACCGCGTGGCTAATATCAATTCAGTTATTATATTATAAATTTTTTTCACGCTTTTAGCATCACAACGTCATACGGAATAAGCCAGCAGAGTGACTAAATGAAACCTGTGCGAAGCTTAACCTCCCTAAGGGAAATTGTATACTGTACAAGCCGATGCTTGATGCACCTGCTACTCGCCTTTGCACACACTCACATGAATTGGTGATAATAGAGGACCGTTATCTGCATTAACTTTCTAAGAATACTCCAGTGAATTTAATCACTTTCTAAGACTGTTACAGTGAATTTAATATAAGCTGACGATATCATAGTATTTTATCTCCAGACAAGATCAACAAAACATAAATCCAAACCTCATGCCCATGACAAGTAAGTTGCCATACTGAAAGTGATTAAGTGAAGTGACAAGCATAAATGTGGAGGACCCATATGTGGTCAAAAAATGTTCAAGGCTACAAAACAACAAAATTAAACGTATGTCGACTATCGGCCCCATCAATATAAAAAAGCAGCAAATTATTGGAATACAACAACACAGAGTGTGGGAACACCAGCAAAATAGCGTTATTTTCATGACACGATTTTACCATGATCCTAGTATAGGATACTGGGTAAAGACTAATAGAAGTCGCAAAAAGACATTAATTTCTAAGACATCCATAGATGCACTGATCCAAAGATTTTCAAACGTGCTACATTAATTGGCCATTTTAAAAACATTGGACAGGCTAAGTGGTATGGCATAGAAACTATTTATATAACTGAACACGAGATTTATTGCATTGAAGCGATGATAATCAGATATAGCTGTACGTAATTAAAACGTCCCGATTGATTTCATGACAAAACGTTGCGTCGCACTCGAATTTGAATATCAAATAATTTAATAAGGGGCGTTATAGTGTCTGATGCATATATACATTTGTTAATTATAACTGAAGTGATTTCATTCGATTCGCGATATTGTGAAACTCAAGTGGCGATTGAGCACGCCAGAGATGTTCTTTGTCTCGATTAAGGTTTCAAGCAGATTATTAATAGGTAGTATAACTATGTTGAGGTACAATACAAAAAAAACATCTAGCTACCGGATAACTAAATCTCATCAGAATAGTTACTGAAGCGAACCTTCACCGCTTCTGGTAAGTGTGCAATGAATACTTCATGATGGTCTATTTTTATAATAGATGGCTTATTTTCCGTGATTCTCTAACAAAAGAAAAAAACCACGCTACTTATAGGTTATAAAAATGGTGTTAATTACTACTCAGGTCTTGTCTTCACTATCAAAATCGGCCTCTTAGAGCTAAATCTGACCATACAAGGTGTTTTAAATTCCATCCTAAGCATTGTGATCTCGGAAACTGTAAGAGATACGAGGTCGCTTAAATGGGGGCAAAGTTGGGTATTTAGGTAAATTAACAAAATGTCGCTTAGACAGTTTCGAAATTCCGGAGAGAGATGGAAAAAATAGATTTTCTCAAAATCGTTTTAATTTTTCCTTACTTTATTTGTAGTGGGAATTTATAATAAATTACACAATCACACTGCCACTTTTCCTCCTCTACAAGATGGCATAATTAGATTTTCAATATTACGTTTCATCTCTTGCCCTCCAGCATCAACTTTATTTTTTCTTATGCACGCCATATTGGATTTATGCATAGACAAATAGAATGTTTAATTTTGACTTTAAAAGTGTATTCTATTTTTTCCTGACTTTATTTTAGTTGGCCTTTCAAAATAATTTGCATGTTAACATTGCCAGTTTTTCTCCTCTACAAGATAGCATAATTGGATATAACGTTTCGTCTCTTGTCCTCCCAGCATCTACTCTATTTTTTCATGGACGCCATTTTGGATTTTTACTCAGATAAACAGAGTTTTTAATTCTGATTTCAAAAATGTGTGAAATGTCATACATTGACATTAAGGAACCTCAGTCATTTCAGAAAAACAGAAGTTTCTAGGTAGGCCTTGAAATCATCATACCTCATTTGTTTCGTATACCAGATCAGACCTCAAATTGAACACAGCAACAGAGTTTCGAAGACTGAGAAGAAGATAAATAAATCGAGCAGTGACCAATGTACAGAGAAGAGTCTGGCTTTTCCTACAAAATAACAGACAACATTTTGAACATTTGCTATGATTTAACTCTGATTATTTGTTTATTGAACTTTAGCAGTCAGTTGACAAATCAAGCTGAAAATTTAATCATTTTACTAGTTAGGGACACTGAACATCTATGCCAAAAATTATTAAAATCTGCTAAATATACGTAGGTGTTTACATTTTTTTGTCACTCAGTATACTTGGCCCGATTCTAAATGCTAAAAAGAAATATATCTAGGCAGCATAAGTGTCTTGAGGTTTTAAGATCATGTCGGATTCTAAAAATAATGTGAAGAACCTACTTTCATCCTACTATATATACTAAGTGACATATAAATCCGAACACCCAGTTTAAATGGTTTTATTTTAATAAAAGTTGGTGAATGTATGTATTTATTTTACTGTAAATAACAAGTGAAAAAATTTTCAGCCTTATCAGTTGGACATACAGGTTTTTATACTGCTTTTTTTTAATTCACTAACGCTCTAAAAATGAATGTTTCAGCCGCAGTAAAGAATCAACGTTGGCGGATTTCGGTTCTTGACATCCTTTACGATCGGTTACGATGCCTAGAGTACGGAGACCTGTACGATTTCGTCAACTTAGTGAGTTTGATAGGGGCCGTATAGCGAGACTTTGGGAAGCTGGACTTTCTTTTCGGGCA